TTTAATAAGTTTTATTTTTTATATTTTGTAATATAAATAATTATTTTAAGTATCGTTTTCCATTTTTTTCCCCCTTAAAATAAATTTTTACATTACTTTGAATTTATAAATTATTTGTTTTTATTTAAAAGCTTTAAATGGGAAGTCACATAGTGACACATATTTTTTCTTTTTTTCTTTTTGATACAATTTAAGTTTCATAAATTGTTTTATGCACAAATAATATTTTTTCGTAATTTTTACCAAAGCTGTGGAACGCTTCAARTAATATTCAGCGAACTGATTAAAATTTATGTTTACTGCTGCACACTTACTGCACTTGGATAATGTATTTTGTGCCTGAATTTAATATATTTTAAAAAATTTTCATTGTTTTAATAGAATTTCATTATATGACACCCTCATGGGTGACAGAACTTTTCACACTTTTTTTTTCTTATTTTTATATTTTTTTTTTATTAAAAAAACACTTAAAATTTCTGCGTTACCGCTTTTTACATTTGCTCTTCGCACAAACTTAATTAGCACGGCAGCTCCAACTTGGAAAAATATTTTTTCGCTTAGAAACTACAACAACAACGTGCAAAGCATGTTCCTTGCCCACCTGTTTGTGCAATTCGAACAGCATACAGRATCCTGTAGCACGGCTTGTGACACCTGTGGCAAGTTTTCATTAGACAGCTATGCGCTTATTATCGTCTCCGCATTTGTATGCGAGTATTTTTGCAAGATATTCATTCAAATGTGCTCCACAAAACCATAAGCGAATTGAAAAAATGCAACAAACGCGACTTGAAGAAGCAACAACAAACGCACAACACAATTGGTGTTAGCACTTTAAGCCGAGCGATTAACGCGAATGCGAACCATGCCAAACGGATGAGAAGCTCGAAAGTGTACCGCACGCTGGCGCGTTCAAGCTGGAACTGGCAATTGGTAGAGCCGGCGCAGCGCATAAAACCAGCTCGAAAGCAAGTCTCGACCAGAAAATGCCGCGGCTAATTTTGCAAGCGCAGCCAAGATTATGCGCTGCAAAGAAAAACTGAAGCCACGCGGAGACGCTCTGGAAAGTTGCAAGACTGGTAAGAGAAGATGAGCGGCGAATGAAAGCGGCAATTGATGAAAGAGTGGCTGGAAGTTGCTGTGGAGATTGTAAAAGAGAGAGTATTAGCAATCTTGAAGACAGAAAGCAATAGGAGGAAAGAGCAATAGAAATGGAGTATAATGATTGCAAGAGAAATTAAAAATTTTTTAATGCTGTGTGAGAAGGGAAACTCTCTGCACAAAATATCATATTGCAGAACCTTAAGCTTTCCTTTACATTATTAAGATTTGTCATTATATTTTTCCCATTATTTACTTAAGTAACAAACGTATATAAAAATATTATTCGGAGCCAATGAAACTTTCATGCAATTTTTAAAAGCTTTAGAATGCTCTAYAGTGAAAGCTCCGACATGAAATTAAACTTTCATGCAATTTTTGGAAGCTTTAGACTGAAGCTCTACAGAGAAAGCTCCGAAATGAATGAAWCTTTCATACAGTTTTTAAAAGCTTGAGTACGAAAGCTTTATGGGGAACACTACGCGACATGGAACTAATTTTTCATACAGTTTTCAAAAGCTTTAGAGTGAAAGCTCCGACATGGAATAAAACTTTTATGCATTTCTTAAAAGCTCTACAGAGTTGCACTACCAAAATTCATTCATCGAAATAAAATAAAAACTTAAAAGCCCCCTATTTACCAGCAAATTGCTCTCTTAAAATAACGTTCACTCATTTAACACTTTTCTCAATTCTCTTACTTTTTATGCTGCCAGTTTCCTGTCTTTGCCAGCTGTATCTATCGTAGCAACAAATTTTTGGTTTATCACTGATTACGCTCATCATTTAGTGTATTTGTAGAGAATCTGCGCTCAATTGAAAACAAATTGCTAGTCACTCTMCTCCACGCCTGCGAGCATAGGGCGGTACGTGCATATATCAAAACTACCTACAATTAACTATTCATCACTTTTTTCACACGCTGAGTTATTGATTTATGCGTACACTTGCCTACTGTGGTTATAAACGTGGTATAAGCATAGCTTTTGGTGTGAGCTAGAGAGAGACTTTTGGAAAAAAATTCAGTCTAATTTGAGAATATTAGAAAAATATTTTGGGACTTGAAGAATATTAAAAAATATACAACACCAGTACTTTTAGAAAAATACTGAACAATTTACAAGAACAATACTTTCAGAAAAATTTCGACAAACGTTTGCTAAAATCCAGAAACAGAAAGTATCATATATAAATATCTTTATTAAAAAAAATCTAGTTTAACATATATATATATGCCGTTTTAACAAAATGTAAAGAATTTTGAAGTTTAAAAAAAMAAACCAAGATATCTTAAATTTTTATGATTTTGAGTACATAGAAAATATGTGAAGAGAGAGAGTGGTTTGAGGTGAGATAAAGTAAGTGGATAGGGGTTGTGTTAATTTTATATTAAACCAAGTGCGCAAAAAAATTACTRTATATATTCTATTTTCTTTTTATTTTTATCACTTCACCTTCCCTGCAATAACCGCTTAAGATCTCGGGCACCCTGCAGACCTCTTTGTCTCTTTTCAGTATACATTTTTTATACTTTCGCAACAAAGTTGCTAAAGAGAGTATTATAGTTTTGTTCACATAACGGTTGTTTTTAAGTCCTAAAACTAAAAGAGTCAGATATAGGGTTATATAAACCAAAGTGATCAGGGTGACGAGTAGAGTTGAAATCCGTCCGTCCGTCTGTCCGTCCGTCCGTGCAAGCTGTAACTTGAGTAAAAAKTGAGATATCATGATGAAACTTGGTACACGTATTTYTTKKCTYCATAAGAAGRTTAAGTTCGAAGATGGGCMAAATCGGCCCACTGCCACGCCCACAAAATGGCGGAAACCGAAAATCTATAAAGTGTCATAACTAAAGACATTAAAATGAAATTTGGCACAAAGGATCGCATTAGGGAGGGGCATATTTGGACGTAATTTTTTTGGAAAAGTAGGCATGGCCCCGCCCCCTACTAACTTTTTTGTACATATCTCGGAAACTACWATAGCTATGTCAACCAAACTGTATAGAGKCGTTTTCTTCARGCGCTTCCATATACAGTTCAAAAATGGAGGAAATCGRATAATAACCACGCCCACCTCCCATACAAAGGTCATGTTGAAAATCACTAAAAGTGCGTTAACCGACTAACAAAAAACGTCAGAAACACTAAGTTTTACGGAAGAAATGTCAGAAGGAAGCTGCATCCAGGCTTTTTTTAAAAATTGAAAATGGGCGTGGCGTCGCCCACTTGTGAACCAAAAACCATATCTCAGGAAGTGCTCCACCGATTTCAATGAAATTCGGTATATAATATTTTCTTAACACCCTGATGACATGTACCAAATATGGGTAAAATCGGTTCACAACCACGCCTGAAATCTCGATTATCACTTTATCATGTGAGAGTATAAAATGTTCGGTGACACCCGATCTTAGCCCTTCCTTACTTGTTTTTTAATAATTTTTATTATATGTGACCTGTCCTACGAAAAGGGAGCTAACGKGCGAAAACTAGTTTTCTGGGAAACAGCTGTTAAAAATCTCATCTTCCATCCGAAYCAACTWAAAAGTGARAATTGATTTTTTGGATTTTTTGACACCTAAGCCCCCWTTCSGTAGGCCAGGTCACATTTTATTAATATTATTTTGGAAATCACCGCAATAGTTTACTTAAAAATGTTATTCAACAMAGTTCCCGTCAAGGAAGATATACTCATTTTAACGACCATCCAACATTTCGATACCACTTTTGTAGTGCGATTTGTCTTCGACAGACAAAAATTTCTGACCAGAAAACTTTGTTTTAAAATCTAAGAACAAGAAATAGTCTCTTGGGGCCAGTAATGGAAAATGCGGTGGATAAGGAAGCATATGGAATCCCAATTGATGAATTTTTGCCGTTGTCCCTGACTGCCGATTGGACTTCTGGGTGAAATAATAGAGAACATGTTGCATCCATTGTCAGATATGAATGCGAAATTTCGGGCTTATTATGCGTGAACATCTCCAAACACTGCTCTGAATCAACAACACACAGTTGTTTTTGGTCAGAAGTGAGCTCACGATTCACCCAATTTACATAGAGCTTTCTTATACCCAAATATTCGTGAGTGATATAATGTACACGTTCAGTTGATATCTTCAGAGTGCCTGCAATCTCGAACAACTTCACTTTCCAGTCATCTACAATTATTTTGTGGATTTTTTATTTAATTTTTTTTTTTGATGTTTTTGTCGGTAACAACCACTTTTGGGAGCCCACTGCGTTCACCGTCATCATTGCTAATTTCACGAAACCTAAACTTAGCATGCCAATCCTTGATGGTTAATACTCCGACATGACTTATATTTTTTCCCTTCAAACAGCATGCTAAATTCCTTTTTATCCATTTTTTTTTCACACTAATAAAAGTTGCGTCTTTCAAAATGATATAATTTACAAAGTGCTGATTTAAAATTTATTCACACCCCTTTTGAAGGTTAGGACTAACTAAGAATCATATGAACTTAATTCTAGTTGCACCATGCATGTGCCAGGCAGGGGAATTTTCAAYCTGAGCTATCTATGCAATTTAATATACTTGAACTCACAAATAAAAATATACTAATATTTTAAAATTATGGATCAATAAATTACATTAATCAATAAATTTTAAGAAAAAAATTGCGACTGATGTACTAAAATGTTCCATCATATAGAGCTATTTTTGTCATTTTAATAAACCATGGTGATTTGACCCCACACTCATGAATGAAAAATCCTACATGTTAGACAATTTCTAGTTTTTGCAACAACAAATTGGCAAGAAACAGCCTCTAACATCACAATCGCAAACTGTTTGTAAACTACAGTTATTATTACAGATTTTATAAAATTAAATTGATTTGAAAATTTATATTTCAAATATCGTCCTCCAATCCTAAAAATTTACCTCGCTCCCCACCAAGTTCGTGCCTTAAGTCTTTTATCTGCCAACAGCAATACAATCGGCGGCAGCACTACGCCAAGTCATTTCGTCACTCGCAATTAAGCGCAAAGTCGGAAATTCCGCCTACCTATAATTTACCTATCGATTTACCGTTTGCCGCTATAAGTTTTGTTTACACTTTTTTGTTGCTGCTGCTTTGATTATCACAAGCGCTATTGACTGTTTGCTTGGTRCGTCGCTCAGCGCTGCGGCCGCGTCATTTGTTTACAATTTTAAAGCTTTCAATGTCGTCGTCGCTGCCGTCGTTACTGACTTGTTAAGAGATTTTATGGATTTATGCGCAAGCRTAAGCGAGTGTGTGACTATGACTATACAACTTTGTTGATTTTGTTGTATTTTGTTATTGTTTGCGAATGTTGCAATCGGAAATGTCAGCTAATGCAACATTTTGCAACAAATTTCACTTGCTTACTAAGCAAGCGGYTTACTTCATGACTCACTTGCCGGTGGACTGATTTGCTGCTTTCGAGTTCGCCGAAATCAATTAGGGCTTTGAATGAAATGAAATTAAAAAAAAAGTGGTAAATATGTGTTTTGTACTTTTCACCCTCTGCATTGTTCATTTAATTTAAAAATTAAGAAATATCTGCTATATGTGAATACTTCGAGAAAAACTAAATTTTATAAATATATAAAAAAAAAATTTCAGATATTTTACCAATTTAATATCGTACAAATATATAGCATAATTTATGGAGGCAGCTTTGAAAAAACAGCAATACAAAATATAATATTTTAAGGAAAATATTATTTATTAAAATCAGAATCTAGGGAGACAAGACGAGTTAACAAAAATTTTGCCGGAAAAAATATCATAGACTTGGCAATGGACCAGTAATCA